ATTACTAGCTTTTATCAGTCTATAGTGCATCTAATTCGATATCTGATTCGATCAGTATTATATAACTTCTAATAATAAAAATACATTACTTAGGAATATTTTTTGAATTTACATTTTTAGATAAAAATGAATATTACTACAGCTTAATATAAACATTTGTATTGCGTCAAAACAGATAATCTCATTAGAGAATTTTATTCATTCATTCATTCGTCAGCATACTTGACTCAATTTATAGTAAAATTTGAGTCTAAATTTTGAGAAAAATTATGCGACATTGTCAGTAACCTATCATTTACATATAATTTATTAATAACATATTTAGTATTGGTATAGTCAACTTGTTGCAAAATCTAAATAAATTGTGTATAGTTACATACAATTCTTATCCAAATGATATATAAATTTATATTTCAAAATTTCGTAATAGTCTTTTGCAACTCATCATAATTTTCCGATTCGTTCGAACTTTGTGAAACTTTTCAAATTACTATCCAAATATTTAAAAACAATTTACGAACTAGTTGTAAGTACTCTAAAACGTTCGTCTACTCTCATGCTTCTTTCACAAGTGTATGCCGACTGGTACATAGAATGTGTGCACGTGACTTCTGTAAGATTTGCTGATGTTGGAAGGAACGCCTTCTGTCTAAGACGCTGACGTCAGGGTACGAGAACGAAATATTTCGTGTTTTGTTTTCTAATGGTATGAACTAATCCCTTGATTTTCTAATTTACTTCTTCACAATAAAATTACTTTGTGTTATTGATAAAAACTGCATTACAAAATACAAAAAAGTTTTAATTAAATCAATTGATAGGTTGGAGTTTTCAACAATATTTGAATGTAAAGTAAAGTATGAAATTTTGCATTGGTTCACTAATTTACCTCATCAATGGGTTAAAATGACCAGACAATTTTTATGAAATAGCTGAAAAGACATAGTTTTACAACGTCAACGTATGAATTAAGCTGTAAAATATTTATAGAACATGGTTAAATATTTTTTGTTTTAATGTAGTTGGTTTGGTTTGGTTTTGTTTCTTACAGTATAAATGTATTTCATAGTATACTTCCATAAGTCTTATAGGACGTTTGTGCCCCGTCCTACACTATTATTTTAATTTGAAATAAACATCATATACTATACCATATTCAATTTTGCTTATGCCTTCTATTTTTTTTTGTTTCGAACTAAAACCTTTAAAGCTTTTAAAATGAGTGATTTATCGACCTACACATTTAATTCATCATAGCATCATAAATATTTTACGATTCATATAGAATTAATACAGAGAAAAATATACGATTTATTATTATTATCCTTTTGATAAATGATTTCAATTTAAACGCACGTGAGAGTAGCATGTTGGTAATGCATTTGCAATAAAAACGTTATGGTTTTGCACCAGACAAAGTGGACATTCTTTATCATAAGCGAATTTATCTTAAAAATGTTATTAATATAGTATCCATTAAAATATCTGTCAAGATGAATAAAGCAAAAGTCAAGTCGCAATATTTATAAATGCGAAGTGAAAAAGATTATTGTCGTATTATGATGCAATTGTAGTATTAACTCTAAAACTATGCTCATTTTTGAAGTAAAACTTCTTTAGGTGCGACTAGGGTGTAAATCCGTACAAATGCAACGGAAGTGCGTTACGGCAGATAAGAGGAGCGATTTTTCATTCGCTCTTGATGATTTCTCATTTCTATACTGGTCGATTCTGATTAGACGTCGCGTATGTGAATAGAGATCTGTCGTTGTATGCATAACGGCATAAGCGTTGTATGCGTACCGATACCAACAAGGAAATCAGCATAGATAAATAAACATTTCAAAGTTACATCGTAGTACTAATCTTGATTTAATAAAACAATGCCTGAATCAGAAAAATATTTTACCCTGTTCGTTGAAAAAATAAAACAAACAAACGTAAGTTTATTGATTAGAAATTATTTTTATATTATTGGTAGTTTCTATAAATCTTTGAAGTTATTAAAATGGAAAATATTTTTTAGGCAAGACAGATGTTACAGCTGTTTAAAGAATGAGATTATATCGCCAGAGAAAAAGTAAAAAAATACAAGCAGCCAATGAATGTATGTTAATTTTAATTACATGAAGTTCTTCAAACACAATTACATGATGAGTGAAGTTGCAAAAACAATATTTGTCTAGACGTTGTTTAACATAATCCACAAACAAATATTAAAGAATTTATTAATCAGCAATTACTTCATTTCTCTAATTAAGGTTCATTTCTAAATGCTAATTACAATGACAAACCTATCATGTCATATTTAAAGTATGACTTTAATTACATTATTGTTTTTAAATATTTTTAATGCTATTATGATTATATAATTTATAATCTATCGATTATATAAATGTGTATAAAGGTTGACACTAATAAATATCTGCATCACGAGTGTTACAATATTACTAATAAATATTATTCAAAAAAAAAGTTGTATTTGTGTATTAATTTTTACTTAAATGTCATCTTGTAGAGTAGCAAATAAGGTTTACTTCAAGTGCGTGTGAACCTTACGCGCACTCTTTTTTTAATTCAATTATAGCAAAATACTTTTCTATATTTGGTGACTTTTCATAAAATCGAAGGGCAGGTCGGTAAAAAAATCAATAACTTGAAGTATTGTTGGGAGTAATTATAATAATATTTTCTATGGATGATTTTATTACGATATTTGGCGTTAGTAATAATTCGGAATTATCCAAACATGATATATTTCATTACTTGAAATTTTTATTTGTTTAGTTACACAGTTAGATATTTATTAGTTATTATAGTATTCGCCTATAGTTTTATTTGCAAACTTCTAAATTTTTCAAAACTAAAAGTTCCTCGCGAAATAATATAAATTCGGTTTGCTATAATTTTATTATTATGTTGCATTTTTTTTTGTCACAGACTTTAATTGAAATGTATTTTCAGATAGTTTCCAGAAATTATAAATTTTGTTTTATATAGGCTATTGTGTTAGTCCAGCATTATCTTCTTCCAAGGCGTGATGTGTTTACCAAACATATGTTTGTTTTATTTTATATTCTCCAGCATTTAATAAAGATAGCATAATTATAACAGTTGAAGTAGTTCCATGTACAAAATAAGTTCATTTATCATAAAAACTTTTTTTACCCGGTTTAACTGAATATTCTATATATCTTTTGAGAATTGAGTCATCGACCTAACAGTACCTACGTGAATTCCTCTGATCCACTGATAACGCTAGTCGACCTCATTATATATAACGTACATCCAAAATAGTTAAATGCTCATTCCTGCTGCAGCTTGCACGGATTACTTAAAGTTCGCAGAATTAGTGTCCATCGTATCTGCCAGCCACTCTAACTCAAGTTTAAAACTCAGACCGGTGGAGAGTCCTAGTCCGGAGTTTGTATTTGATGGGAGCACACATAGAGATCTACTAGTTTGGGGTAATTATATAGTTGGCCGGCGTAAGTAACTCGATAGAGAGACCACGAATGCTTTGGTCTGAGTGTGGGTTACAGAAAACTCAGAAATTTTAGGATTGATCACAAAGAGCTTTTATATGCATCTAAGTTACATTAATCTATGAATTATATGCAACTATTTGAGTTTAGAAACATCTTCAAATTACATTTAATGTAACATCTTCCAATTACATTGTCGTTCGAAAAAGATTATTTATATTGAAAAAAACATTTTGAAGTAAAACTTCTTTAGGCGCGACTAGGGTGTAAATCCGTACAAATGCAACGAAAGTACGTTACGACTCTCGATGAAATCATTTCTATACAGGTCGATTGTGATTAGACGTCGTGTATGTGGATAGAGATCTGTCGTTGTATGCGTACCGGCATCAACGCTGTATATCAGTTCCAAACTCAACAAGGAAATCGGCCTAGCTGAACAAACACTTTAAAGTTACATCGTAGTACAAATCTTGATTTAATGAAAAATGCCTGAATCAGAAGAATATTTTACCCTGTTCCTTGAAAATAATAAAACAAATTAAACATTAGTTTCGCGAACTAAACGCAAGTTTATTGATTAGAAATTATTTCTATATTATTCGTAGTTTCTATAAATCTTTGTAGTTATTAAAATGGAAAATAATCTTAAGAAGGACAGAAATTACAGCTGTTTAAAGAATGAAATTATATCGCCAACAAAAATAACAAACAAAAAAGTATGTTAATTTTAATTACATGAAGTTCTTCAAACAATTACATGGTGAGTGTAGTTGCGAAAACAATATTTGTTTATGCGTTGTTTAACATAATTCACTACGTGAACAAATATTATAGAATTTACTAATGAGCAATTAGGTTCATTTCTAAATGCTAATTACAATGACAAACCGATCATGCCATATTTGAAGTATGACCTTAATAACATTATTGTTTTTAAATATTATACATATTTTAATGCTATTATAAATATAAAATTTATAATTTATAATTTATCATTTTACAAATGTGTATATTGTATATTGCACTGAACAATAATATAATTACATTTAACCTAGTATAAGATGATCAATATTCTGAATTACAATAAACGTGACCATACATAATGTTGGTTAAATCTATGGTCTAGATACGCCGTTTCATATAATGATTATTTCCCAGCACAAGTTTGTTATGTTTTCTATTATGCGAAAAAGTATGTACATAATATTATAGATAAAACATTGCATAAAATTTTATTATTTTTCACTTACCTTTATCATCAGACAATACTTGTATCGTATTCGAAAATCCTACATAACAGTCCATAATAATTAACGTGGAAACCTGAAAAGAAAGTTCTACAGGTCGGGAACTATATAATTTATTCAATCTAAATAGGACGTAAAACTTCGTAGAAGTTGTTCTCTATAAATACATTTCAAACTTTCTAAAACTTCAAGTTATTAAATATTAATCACTTAATAATACTAATATTTGATTTTTCTTTGTTACAGAGGCATACTGTATCAGAATATGCGAGATTATGGTAAAGCTGTGGAATCTTTTCAAAAGGCCATACATTTCAGACCTTCTTTAGCAGGTTAGTAAATAATGATAAAATAGAAATAATTAATATAAATAAATATGTATATATATATATATATATACATACAAAACAAATACTTGAATACATTAAGCTAATTTTATCAAAGAAAGTCGACCATAAAGTTCTTTCGAAGGAACCACTAAGCTTTCTAAAGCCCTAATTTAACATGAATATTTTTTACATTTTAATTGGCAGCTGAAACGAGATTTTTGTCGATTTCTTTTATGTAATATTTCTTTTACTTGACAGTTCGAGGGATAAAACGAATTTGATATTCTTATCAAACTTTTTTCTATTAATCAGATGGTATGAGTAATTATTTCCGCGAGATAATATTGAAAGATTGGCATTTCAATTAAAGGAGTGTTTTCGACTTTATTTTCAAACATGATTGCTTTTGAGGATCTTTTTTGATTAATTAGGTTTTCGATATGAATAATTAAAATGGGATTTATAAAATCGATATATATATATATATATATATATATATATGTGTGTGTGTGTGTGTGTGTATATATGTATAAAATAAAATATATGCAAAAATTAATGATTTAAAAAGTTTTTGATACATTGAAAAAACTTCCATCAAATTTTGTATAATATCGGTATCGGTTGAACCACCGACATATCAGAAACAAGTAAAAATTAAAAAGATTAACAACAATATTTGAAAGTAGAGGGAAAAAGATGTACCAGACATCATCTTGATTCTTACGACGTTGGTATTAGAATATAAATATCAATGTTCAAAAATTTATAAAAAAAATATTTCATTTTGTTTTTAGTTTCTTCGGTCGTGAGCACTGTTGTTTAGTTTACGAGGCCTTAACATAATTTTTAAATTTATGTTATTTAAATGTTTTAGAAGATGTAATTTTATTTTTAAGTTATATTCAACAGTCTTTTATATATAACCTCTATAAAAGTTTACATGTGAATGGGGTAAATAGGACCATCTGAACAATTGCCCTGGTGAAGGAGTGAACATAAATATTAAATAAAAAAGCAAATTATGTTAATAAAGCTATAATACAAGAGATAAGTTAAATAAATAGTTATTGCATCTCTGCTTATGTTTATTTCTGACAAAATCTAGATCAAGGTTATGTACAGTGTTTATATACAACATTCATATTTTGCATTGGTTGAATAATGTAGCTATTATTTCGTGAAATCCAATAAAAACCAAGAATAAGTAATGAAACCTATTTGACACCTGCCCACCTGACCGTCGTTTACCTCGTCTATGGGGTAAAAGAACCAGATTACAAATTTTTGCAAGACTTCGATGATAAATTAGCTAGTAGTTTTACTGAACATAGTCAGATAGTTGTTTGTTATTTGTTGTGATATTACTGCTCAAAGTAAAATTGAAACTATTAATACAATATATAATTATAATTACTTTGGCCCAAATTAAAATTCTCTACAATTCAAGAAACTGCTCATTGTCAGATATTTAACGTAACATATAATCATTATTGACCCAAAATATCATACTACCCTTAACATATGTGTCTGTTATCCCCTTATTAACACATAACATGACATTCATGATAGTAAATCGAATAAAACGTATCATGAAAATTCCAAAATCATCGTCATACCTATTCAAGTCCTCCGTCACCGATTTTTGAAGATTCTTGTAATGGGTGCCTGATGTATATATTTATACTCGATCTCAAAATATACACATACAGGGTGGCATAGAGAAATTCGTTGAAAAGACCTAGTATGTAGAAGGCATAATGGGGTATTGGTTTGCTTCTGAATAGAAATTTATGAGGGTGGTGTGTATTGAAAATATTTCATATTCCATCGCTTATGATGCGGATAAGTGGGTGAAAGACGTGATATTCAGGCCGCATACACTCATAAAGCTGTACGTTTATTTTCATACGAGATAAGCATAATAAAAGATTATTCGAGAAAATTTGTGTGTAATATCGAAAACTATTATATTATATCTTTGGTGATCATAAAATCCGCTAGTAGAATTTTAAATAAGATGCGAGATGTTATATTTTATGGGCGATATAATTTTACTATGTAGCATGAGCAATATGTTGCATCCGTGTATAGTTTTACAGTTACTTATATAGAGGAGTGTATACAAATAACAATTGGAGTTGTTGCTCACGATATACTTTCTGCTAAAAGTGAAAGTTTTATATCAAATATTGATATAACCATTGGGTTGCATTCTAAAAAGGCACATAGAAGAGATGATAGAAATGCGCCAGGGTACAGCAGTGACAGTCGTCATAATAGTTTATCATACTAATTGTACATAAACATATTCTGTAGACCGATAAACTTACTAAATTTTATTGGAAGCTTGAAAAAAACTAATAATCAAACAACAAAATTGGCCAAATGTTGTTATAATCCGATAAGCAATTTGAACTAATCTGGTGACTTCACAAAAATAATATTGGTATTTTATTTTTCAAATACTATATAAGAATTTAAATTGAGGAACAGCTGTGATGAAATGTTCTAAATAAATAAAATAGCAAATAAACATATTTTTAAATTTCCGAAAAATAAGTTTTGTCCAAAAATCTGATTTGCAAACTTTATGTTTTCTCGACGATAAGCCATTCTGAATCGAATGAGACCTAATTTGAAAAAAATATGTGTTTGTATGTAAGCCGATTTTTGAACATTTTTCGAACTTTGCTTAAAAACAGCTGAATCGATTTCAAATTCAAATTTAAAATTCATTCGAAGTAACTCGATAAAGACTTGCGTTTGTTAGTTTTGCACGACGATCAGCCAATACGTTTCTTTGTTATTAACATAAAAAATAAAAAAAATAGTCTACGTTATATAGCCCACAATCCTGAATCCATTTATAAAATTCAAGAATTGTTCGAAAGATATAGATTAGGAATCATACTGATTAATTTCCAGTGAAGATCGGCCGGATCGTTTTATTGCAATTGTAATTCCACGATTTTGATTAATCTTTTTTAGGCGATAGGCAAAATAATTAATAATTTTAATAATTCTTCAGATTTTGAAAAAAATGACCAGCGTTTTTTTGGCGCTTGTTACAATTAGACCTGTTGATACAATTGACATTTTCTTAATAACTGCTGAATCGATTGCACAAATTTAAAAAAGATGTACGAAATCGTGGCATTATTTTCTTATTGGAGATGCATAATATTTCACAAAATAATTTATTAGGACATATAAGTACGTGTTTGTGCACTAAAATTAATATAATTACAGATAATTTCAAAGTGTTCGAGAAATATCAATTGGAAATCTCAATGTTTAGATTTAATTAAAAGAGAAAATTTCATTTTCGCAGTTGAAATTTTTCTAAATAAAATATTATATATTATAAAAATATATAATAAAATTTAAAATCTCTCATGCTCATGAAAAATTCTCATGTTTTTTGAAGATGAATCTCCAATTTCTGAAGAATTTAAGCTATAAATTATCTAACTTTATTTATCACCTTGTTGAACCCGGTATTAGATATCTTGTTAGTCGTAAAATGCCTCCACGAATCCAATAATGAAATACCTGATCTAACATTTGTCCTATAGTATTTTATTATTCGCATTGTGTGAACTTTCCCATTGGTGTGTTTCGCATATCGAAGTGTACGCTGCATATTTTCTCAACGCGTTCGAAATACTTGGGCGTGTTTTAGAGAAAGATTAATTACTGTCACTAATGAAAATCAAACGTGCTTGATAAGAACTAGCAAAGGGTAATAAATTATATGGAATAGGATTTCGAATGCACGATACATTTATTTGAATTAATTAGAAATCTTTATAAAAAATAAGAATAGTTTAAATGAAAAGTTAAAATTGGTAATACCTTGGAATTGACCCATTTAAGATGAGAAATAGTGAAGTATAGTATACTATATAATAAGAAATCGAATGCACGATACATTTATTTGCATTAGTGCGGGACGGGGCACAAAGGTTTATTTTGACCTTTAGTATGTACTCGTATATTGTATGACCCAAACCAATTATAGCGCAACAAAAACACATAACAAATAAATAACTATCAAACTATATCTATATATATATATATATATATATATATATATATTATAACTCATATTAATTTGTATAATAATAAATTTATTTTCAAAAACCAGTGGCCGAAGCTTATTCACAAAACATTGAAATTGTAAAAAAATCTCATCTCATGAATAAAAGTAAATAAAACATTCAGCATTTATTTCCAGTGATTTATTGAATCGCTGAAAAGATATTCGTATCAGTACCTGTTGCCGATTTAATTAAATGCAAACAATTTTTCTCGCGTTAACTTGAAAAAATCTTTCGCTGTTGATGATTGTTCGTTCGCCTTGAGGGAAATTGTCCCCAATTCGGCGTGTCATTTTATAGAGTGTTTAAGATAGATTCCGGTAAGAGTTTTCCAGTTTTCCGGGAGGACATTATTTATTCTCCGCCGTTATATGTACTTCAAAATGTCCCCCTCTTTTTAACATTTTTCTTTTTTCTCTTTACTTCGTCGTTGCTTAGTTTTTTCTCGTCGTTTTTCTCATTATTTTCCAGCGTCTGGGGTAGAGAGAAATGCTGGAAGGGCGGCTGTAAATCACACCACACACCCGTCGCTTTTCTTCCTGGGAAAAGCGGGACATTTTGCGTCGGCTACAAATCGCGGTCGCAGTTTACAACCCTTTTTATATATATTGCCAATCCATCTTTATATATTGTCCTTGATATTTTTATTATTTTGTTCACGATGTACTTAACAAATAAAAAAAATTAGTAATAAATTATTACGCGCTTGATAATAATATTTTGTAAGATAGGATAGAGCGGTCTTAATGGTTTGCAATTTTATTTACAAAAAGCCGAAATGCCATGACTAGACTGACTGACTTGGACAAAATTAAAGTATTGGACTGTGAAGTTGAGTGGTCGAAGGATGTCAAATATCTTGGTGTGACCCTGGACCATAGACTCAGCTTCACAAAACATATT